TGCCTCACACACACACACACACACACACACACACACACACACACACACACACACACTAAAAAATAGAAAATAACTATCATGTTTTTCACTGTTACTATGCAGGGTTAAATATAACACACACACACACACAGACACAGTGGGGGGGGCAAGAACCTTTGTCAAGATTTATGTGCCCCAGAATCTTCTGGCGTCTGTCTGGTCTTTTCACATTCTTGGTGGTGTCTTTTGGTAGGAAGACATTTTTAATCACAAAGAAATCCCCTTTAGCCCTGGCTAGTCTATCTTCAGTGCCATGCATGAGGGTGAAGAATTCTCTGCCCACCTTTAAATGCCCCCAAATCCATCTCTCCTCCTTTCCAACTCTGCCTATGCCCAGCTGCTTCTGCCCAGTTCCTCCCTTTCTATCCCACCCTTCTCCACATTCGTGTTCTGTCCCAGCTTTGGCTCAGCTGAGAATCTTTCTCCCCGTGATCCTCATGACTCTACTGCACGTGAACAACCCTGTCTCATCCAGGCGACTCACAGACGCTAGGTGCTCAATAAAACCCCCATCAATGAAGACAATGCCCTGTGGTCCAGATGGGGGGCATTAAAACCATCCATTACTTCTAAACACCAGTTCATCAGGAACAGCTGAGCAGAACTAGGGAACCAAACGTTTTGGAAAAACTAGCAAGGAGGGGAATGTTTCACTGCTTTCCCGACCAGAGCACTAACCACGCAAACATCACCCAGATGTACATCTCTGGGTTATTTATTACCACTTCAGCCCCAGACTCCAGGGGGCGGGATGATAGAGACTGTTTTCCCTGCACATGCTAGCAACAGGGCCCTTGCACTGGTCCCCCACCCCGGCCAGTCTTGGCCGACTCCAGGTATGGAGGAGGCACGTCTTCTAGTCCTTCTCCTCACCGTGTGTGATGACATAACACAGATTTCTGTAGTCTAAGTTGCCACAGACATCAGGAGGGAAAGCTGCAAACATCTGCTTGACCTGGGAGAGTGAGTGGAGAGTCAGGTTAAATGGGGGCAATGGGAGAAGGAGGAGTCAGAGCAGAAGTTCTATGGGAATGTCCCCCCCAAAGCCCGCTTACCTCCTCCTCACTGAACCGGTCAGCCTGAGTCATAAGCTTTTCTTTAATGCTGTTGGTGAAGAGAAGCCATCATGTCTTGGGGAAGGGCTGCCTGGTGGCCACATGGACATGAGGTTCCTAGGGGAGCTCTAGCCAAGGGAACCCCAGCCTAGGGCTGATTCTCCCAGCCCCAAGGCATCTCTTTGTGTCTTAACTGCTTCTCTTGCAACCTGTACTCCTCTAGCAACAATAGGGGACAGAATGGAATAATCTTGAGACTCAAACATGACCTGGAAGTCACTGAGATGCCCAAAGTGTGCTAACAATCCACCTTGTACTGCTGGGGGTGGGGGCTCCTATGTCTCCTGGCTAGGGGTGGAACCTAGAATCTGGGCCATGTTAGGCAAATGCTCTACAGCCTCTCACTGGAGGATTCTAGACAGGTGCTCTACCACTGAGCCACACCCCAGCCACTCACTGAGTCACTCAAGGTAAGCACTCTACCCTCAAGTTATATCCCCAGTCCCCTTTACTCTTCCTTCTTTCCTTCCTTCCTTTTTTATTTTTTATTTTTTTATTTTTCAAGACAGGGTTTCTCCATGTAGCCCTGGATATTCTGGAACTTGCTCTGTAGGCCAGACTGGTCTCAAACTCAGAGCTCTGCCTGCTTCTGCCTCCAAGTGCTGAAACTACGCGGCTTCTTTTTACTTTCTGTTTTGAGACATCTCATCAAGTTTCCCAGGCTGGCCTTGAACTCATTCTAATACTCAGTCTTGTCTTTAATCCCCTGCCTTGGCTTCTCCTTCATGCCTCTTCCAGTTGTTTTGGCTGTCAGAAGACCAGCATTTCCCAGACTACATCATGCTGTTCAAGGGCAAGAGCGTCATGGGAAGATGCAGCCCAGTCTTCCCATGGGTCTCTTTAGAACTTGACTCTTCACAGACCTGGGACAATAGTGCAAGAATCCCCTTTATCTAGGGAGAAACTGAGGCTTGGGAGAGTTTTTGACTTTCCCGCCATCCCAGAGGGAGGCTGTGGCAAGGTTGGGCCTGTCTCCTTGGGATCCGGGTGTATATTGCTGGAGGTGGTGCCAGCACCCAGTTCTGCATGAGAACTTATGTCCCTTGCAACTGAGAATGGGTTTACAAGCTTAGGGAGGTTCTGAGGGCAAGGATGGGATCAGAGAGCTATGCAGAGCCTCTGCTCTCAAGACACCCTCGTGGCGCCGGTGGTGGCAGGCCCCGGTTAAGGAGCGACACGTATTTTCCATTGTTTGTTACTATGGGATAGTCACAGTTTCCAGGTTGCCAAAGCGGGGAACTTTGCAGACTGTTTCAACCAAAGCCACTTCTGTGGCCTATCTGGCCAGCAGCCCTGAGTTCTAGGTCCCCATATCCCAGAGCTGTTCCTTCCATTGACAAAATGAGTGCCCCAGGGACACTCCTTCCTCCCCCCCCCCCCACAGTGCTATCTTCCTGTTCCTGGGAGAGAAGACAGTCCCAGGCATGCCAGGAGGTTCTCCTGGTACCTCAAGAATCAGGAACAAGCTGCAGACCCCAAGGATGGGGTTTTGGTTTCATGTACCCTTGGCATTTTGGTAGTCCCTCTGTACTCCAGGGAGCCTGACTCAGAGCCTTTGATGACAGTATGTAAGAAGGGACATGAACTTCTTTCTCCACCAGACCCCATCTGCTCTGCAGCCAGACCCATCCGCACCTGAACTCCCCATGAATGGCTGTCACTGGTTTCCAGCGTACACCGGCCTATCCTTGATTAGGAGCCAGCAAGGTTTGGAAGGGACACCTTGGAGGTTGGTCCAGCTCCCAGGGACCCTGATCTTGGCTCTTTGTCCCTTCTGCTCTCACTAGGACATGTGCTTAAGCAGGTGTATGCCACAGGCCATCCCAACAGAACCCACCTCTGAGATGCCAGCCCAAGGGCATTCAGGACAGCTGCCCATGGCCACTTTCTACTCAGGCATCCCAAGCTGAGCTGGTCACTGATGTCCCCATCTGGCACTGTCCTCTTCTCAAACCCCTGTGTTCCACTGGCCCTGGCTTCTGGATCTTTGCTGACCTGACCTTCCCTTTCCACTCCCATATCCATGGGCACAACCCTCTCCCCATTTCTTCCATGCCCCAGGCGATTCATCTCCCCCAGGCCAGCTGAGTAATCCATGCACACTAAGCTACGATTCATCCTGTTCTCACATCAAGAATGCCATTCCCACCCTTCAAGGCCCCTCCATCCCCCACACTCAGAAGCACTCCTTGACCCATGCCACACTGCTCATCCACTTCCACACACAGGGAGAGGGGAACACCAAGGCCTAGGAGGGAGGGAAGACATATGAGGAGACACTGTGCTGGTCTGGCTGTGGTCTGCAGCCACTGGATGGATGTTAGCCCTGCTCAGTTCAGTTCTGAGTTGGGGGGGGGGGAGCCAGGGCTGACACCCACCCTGGCACACCTCAGCCTCAGTCCTGAGAACTTACAAGTCGGCCTTGACGAAGCCTTTTCCTTCAGTGTCAAACACCTTGAAGGCATGGAGTATGGTCTCTTCTGGGTCTGTACCTAGAGGTAGCACACATGGGACAAGGAGAATGAAAGGGTAGTGAGGGCCTCTCAGAGGTGGTGCAAGCTGGGCAGGGGGTGAAAGAGAGGGAATGTCCCCAACTCCCACTGAACCACACCCCAGCCCCTCACTGGGGGGTTCTAGGCAGGGGCTCTACCACTGAGCCACACCCCAGCCCCTCACTGGGGATTCTAGG